GGTGGGCCGCCGGGCGCCCATCGGCGACGCGTGGGGCGATAGTCGGGCACACGCAGAGATGGACCAAGAGTGCGTGGGCGCTGCGTCGGTACCGTGCGCGTGGCGGACCTCCCTTGAGCAGGGACCGACCGCCCCGGCATTCGTATGATAGGCCCACCACGACATGTCCTCAGAACCAGGGCACGTCCCGAGAGCAACCGCACACGGCTCCCAGAACGCGGGCCCGACGTGCCAGAAGCAGGCGGCCTCGGCCAGAGATGTCCCGGGAACCCCTCGTGCACACCGCGAGCGGCTCTGGGAACCCTCTGCGGCGGGCCCGCCCGCAGGCCCAGGACGCCGCGCCACTCCCTGGCCTCTCCCGCTCGACCCGCCTCGTGTCGATGCCGTGCTCCGGCCTCCCAGAAGAGGACGCCGGCCGGCGCCTCGGCGCTCGCGCCGCGCCACCCGAGGCCGCGCCGCCCGGCGCCGAGGGCCAGCAGGCCGGCAGCGCAGGCGAGCGAGGCGAGGGGCCCGGACGTCCGACGGCTTGGCTTCTCTGCGGCGCGGCGGTAAGCAGAAGGTGCCCCCAGAAGCCCCTCCCCCTTCTCCTCCTTCCCCCCATGCCATTCCCCCCTGACTCGCTCCCCTTCCCTCGCGGCTCTACTCTCTCCTCCCCTTTCTCCCTCCTCCTCCTCCTCCTCCGCCTCCTCCTCCTCCTCCTCCTCCTCTTCCTCCTCCTCCTCCTTCTCCTCCTCCACCTCCTCCTCCTCCTCCTCCTCCTCCTCCTCCTCCTCCTCCTCCTCTTCCCCCAGGAGAAGTCTACACTGTGCCCCTGACCCAAGACGCACATTAACGATGTTGCAAAGAGCCCTCCCTCCAAGTTCCCTCTTCTATATTCCGTTGACAGAGTTCTCCTCCTCCTCCTCCTCCTCCTCCTGCTCCTCCTCCATGTTCCACCTTCCCCCCTGAGAATTCTCAATCGTGCCAAAACACCATGCTTGGGGCTTCAGCGCAGCGAATCTACCTGACCAATGCGTCTCGACAACCCTGAACCGCACCACCACGCCATTGCTGGGACTTCAACCATATGAGGTCAAGACGACTGTGCGCGGCGCTCAGGAGAGAGTCACATCTCGAAAAGGAACCAGCATCAATCTTAGAGGCTGCTGCGAAGGTTCAAGACGAACATGCCCGAGGGAAGAAGGGAAAGGGGAGGATAAGGACGGAGGAGGAAACAGGAGGAAGAGAGAAGGAGAAGAGATAAGGAGAAGGAAAAGGGGAAGGAGAAGGGGGCGGGAGGAGAAGGAGGGAGGAGGGGGAGGAGAGGAGGAGGATGAGGATGAGGAGGAGGAGGAGGAGGAGGAGGAGGAGGAGGAGGAGGAGGAGGAGGAGGAGGGGGAAGAGGAGGCAGGAGGGAACGGGGGGGAGGGAGGGACGGACGGGGGGAGGGAGGAGGGAGGGAGGGAGGGAGGACGAATGGAGGGCGGGAGTGCGGGAAGGGGGCCTGGAGGCAGCGGCCCCCCCGACCGCCCCACGACGACCCGCGGGGGCCTCCTGCCCCGAGCAGCGCTCCCGCGGCGGCCCCTCCGGGGGGCCCGGCGAAGGCCACGCCCACGAGGAGCCCTCCGCCCCGAGGTCGGAAGGGAACTTTTTGTTGCGAGGCGGGGAGTTATCCATGTCCACCGCCTGGGAGCCGACGTCCTGGTGCCCCAGCGGGCGGCGGATCTGGATATATGTTTCGGCCCCCGGGGGCCCGAATAGGTCCAGGTCCGCCACCTGCCGAGGCTCCGAAGACTGACCCTCCTGGCGGTGGTCACGTATCATAAAAACCGGTCAGCACCGCCCATACCTATCGCGATAGGTGTGGGTGCGAGCGGTCCGAGCCCGAGAGGGGGGTCCCGTTCGAGCGGGGACCCCCGTCCGACAGCGTGCGCCCATGGCCCCCCCCCGGACCTCCACCCCAGGAATTCCTCCTCCTCCTCCTGCTCCTCCTCATCCTCCACCACCTCCTCCCCCTCCTCCTCCTCCTCCTCCTCCTCCTCCTCCTCCACCTCCTCCTCATCCACCTCCTCCTACTCCTCCTCCTCATCATCATCGGCTCCCCCTTGCAAGGGACTTCGAAGTATGGGTGTGAGCTGCCAGCTCGCTGAACACACGGGGGCCGGGGGGGAGAGGGGGGGAGGCTTCTCAGAGGGAGGCCGCTCCTCCCGAGAGGGCGCCGGCCTGCCATCTACAGACAGGGCCCGCGCGGGCCCGAGAAGCAAAAGGCGCTTCTACGAAAAGTTGGACTACTGGTACTACATGTCGTAGTTGGAGGCGCGCGGCCGAAGCGAATATATAGTACACCCGTCTTGTAGTATGTCGCTTCCCGAGCGGTGCGGCCAGAAAGCGCCCGCCACGACGCATAGACTATCAGACTTCTCGGCGCGCGCGTCGCCACTGGGGGAGCGACGCACACACAGTATAAGTAGTATGAATACGTTGGGGTGACGCCGATTCTGCGCGTGGCCGAACCTCAGGGGGGGACTGGCTCGGCGGGAGAGCACCGACGCGGGATCGGCGATGCGCCGCCCGGCCCTCCGGAAAGTGCCCTGAGCCTTCCCCGAAGACACCGAGAAGACCTCTCGCGGAAGGCCGGAGGCCTCCTGAGAAGCCGAGCCGCCTCCTCCGAAGGCCCTCTCTTCCTCACTTCCCCCCCGGGCCCGCCGCCGACGATCCTTAGGACCCCATCCCTCAGGACCCCACCTTCGAACCACCCCGTCTGCGGCCAGGGCGCCAGAGGTCCGGGGACGGTGCCTGGCGCGCGCCGCCGTGCCAGCGCCCGCGCCCAGCCCGGCGGCCCCGGCCCGGCGTCCTCCATGGGCCCGCGGCCCTTTCTGGAGCCGCGCGTGCGGCTCTGGCGCAGGAGGGGCGCGTGGAGGCAGGCAGAGAGAGGCGGAGCGGAGGAGGACGAGGATTGCAGCGTAGCGCGGATGCCCTCAGGGGCAGGCACAACCCTTGGGATCGGATGGGGCGCTTGGGCTCTCCCACCACGGAAGTTGATGCTCGATGTGGAGGTTGGGGTAGGATACCTTCTGGTCCCAGAGCTTGGGGCAAGGACGGATCTTGGCACCTGGTACTGGTGGGTGATATGCGTGTAGCGCATATCCTGTGGCAGCCACCTCTGCCTCGTAGCACCGTGACACGGGGGGTCGACGCATGTGGGGCAGAATTCCAGCACGAGGGGACGACGAATGATGGACCCAAGCAGGATGTGAGTCAGCCATGTGTGTAAATGTGAGCCCCATGTTGTATCAACGCTGGTGCCGACAGAATGCACCAAACCGAAGGAGGAGGAGGAGGAGGAGGAGGAGGAGGAGGAGGAGGAGGAGCAATGTGCGTCCCCAAGGGGGGCACGGTCTGTCCGCCCCACGGGGGGTGCAGACATAGCTCGGTCTTCAAGCGGCAGGGAAAAAAGCTTGCCGCCCTGCGGTCCTCGTGGGATGCCCGCGGAGCTCGTGCGGAGGAGGGGCGGAGGCAGAGGCCGTCGCCTCCCGCGGGCGACACCGGCGCGGGTCGGTGTGGGGGAGCCCTGCGGCAACCTGTGGATGTGGGCCTCGGATGGTGGACATACCCAGTTGTGACCCCGTCCGAGTCCAGGGCAAGCCCCCCTTCCTGGGGTATCACGGCCAAACGGCCAGGACGAGGTTCCGAAGGAGGCAGACGCGGTGACTGAGGAATGACGGCAGGCATCCGCGGGAAAGGGCGAAGGAGGGTGAGCCGGGGGAGCCAGCAGATGAGAGGGGAAAGGAAGGGGCGAGCGGTGCAAGAGAGAGGGCGAGGCAGGGTCGGAGACGGATAAGGAGAGGGGAACCCATGGGGTTGCAGATAGTGGTGAATGACACCCTGAGCGACGGAATCGAATGGAAATTGGGCCTCAGGACTGGCCGCCGCTGAGGGGGGGTCCTCACCAAGCCAGGGCAACATAGCGCAGACAGGCGGAGAAACGAACGTAAGGCTTGGCGTTTGAATGAGGTCGCAGGCTTGACCCTCACGCCTTGGCAGGAGGGGAGGGAAGGAAGAGAACGATGACGACAACGGGAAGGAGGGCTCAACACGCGACATGAAAAAGAGGTTCCGTCCTCAAGGTCGATGGCCATTGAGGTAAACCAAGCCCGCCCCAGGGCCCCCCCAAAAAGAGGGCCCGAGAGGAGGGAACACACCCGAAGAGCAACCGAATATGAGACATCGACTCCCCCCTCCCCTCTCGACGAGAGGAAAAGAGGGAGGGAGGCCAGGGGGAAGGATGGAAGACTAGATAACGGCGGGCATGACGATCCAACCTTCGACTCTGTGGGGCGTTCGGTCAAGCAAAAATTTAGGTTCAGACTCAAAGACACACGATGAGAAAACGCCTATCCTCGATCATGGTGCGTTCGAATAGCCCCCCCGGGGATGCACCCCCGAGCTTTCCGTTATATGTCTGAGCGGCCAAATGCTCATTGCAAGCTCGGGGACTAGGGAAGAGAAACCGCCAGCGAAGGGAATGAGGCGAGGAGGGAGAAGGCAAGCTAGGCGCGCTCGCGCCATACCTGACATCCTACCCTTGGGCTAATTGTCTCTATACATACCCTCAAGGACCCCGTCGTGTTACGCACCATCAGAACAGAGGAGCCCCGTACACAGGAGGAGGAGGAGGAGGAGGAGGCGGAGGAGGAGGAGGAGGAGGAGGAGGAGGGTGTGGCGAAGGAGCAAGCACGTCAACTCCCTGACGTGTTGTTCGCCTCTCGCCAGGGCCCCTGCAGCCCAGGGAGAGTAATCATACTTCGCCAGCGCTCCGAGCCAGCTGGTCCAAGCAACCATCGCAGAGGCACCCTGCTGCTTGCCACTGCTAGCCGGACCAGGAGGAGCAGAAGCATGAGGAGGGTGAGGACGATGAGGCAGGAGGGAGGGAGGGAGGGAGAAGGGGATGCCGGGAGGAGCTGAGGAGGGATGAGCAGGAGGAGGAGGCCGAGGGCGAGGAGGAGGAGAGGGAGGGCGTCCTGCTCCTGCACGCCGCGGTCAACGCCGGAGAAGCAGGCGCAGTGGCAGAGCGCGGCGCAGCCGCCCAGCACCCGCCGACCCCCGCGCAGCGGGGGCTCCCCGCCGCCGCCAGACGCTGCCGCCGTCGCCCTCGCCCTCGCCGCCGTCGCCCTCGTCGTCGTCGCCGTCCTCGTCGTCGTCGTCGTCAAGGTCGTCGTCAAGGTCGTCGTCAAGGTCGTCGTCGTCGTCGATGGGCCGATCGGCCGATCGACCTATCGATGGATCGGCGGAGGTCCAGGTTCTTGCAAGATGTTGACTTCTCCTGGGCCCCCGGGAGGCCTCTGGGGAACCCGAGGGACCTCCTGGAGACTTCCAGAGGCCTCCAGAGACTGGAGACCTCCTCGTCTGGAAGCCTCCCATCGTCGTCGTGGGCGTCGTCGCCGCCGTCGTCCCCGAGCATCGGCGTCGTCGCCGCCGTCGTCGACGTCGCACGTCGTGGTCGATCGATAAAAAAACCGAGCATCGGCGTTTTGGAGCCTTCCTGGGACTCCCAGGGCCTCGAAAAGCTTCCAAATCCCTCGAGAGCCTCCCGTGACTCAGGCCGTCGTCGTCGTCGTCGTCGTCGTCGTCGTCGTCGTCGTCGTCGTCGCACTCGTCGTCATTGGCATCGTCGTTGATGTCATCGTCGTCGCCGTCGAATTCTTGTTCCCCCTCCTCCCGCTCCTCCTTCCTCCAGGAACCCCAGAGAAGCTGTAAGAGACTTCGAAAAGTTTTGGCAGCTTCTCTCAAATTACAAACTGTAATGTGCAAGACCATTGGAAAAGCGTCGGGGAGACCTCCTTCACTTCGTCTGGTCCTGCAGCTACTCTTCATATTCTCTCCTCCTGGTCATCCTCCTCCATCCCTCCCCCTCCTCCCTCCCAACATGTCCTTCTTCTCCTTCTTCTCCTCCTCCTCCTCCTTCTCCTTTTCCTCCTCCTCCTCCTCCTCCCTCTCCCTCACCCTCCTACTCCTCCTCCTCCTCCTCCTCCTCCTCCTCCTCCTCCTCCTCCTGAAACGCCCAAACGTCCTCAAGTTCAGGTCGACAAGCGGCCCTACCTGAGCGAGAACCCCGCAGCGAGACCGTGCCTCAGAAGGTCGTCCTTGCGTCCTTCAGGGCTGCGTACAGTTTAAAAGGAGTGTGGGTGAGAGCAAGTCGGCGGACCGAAGTGAAAAAGAGTGGCCAAGGGTCAGAGAGCTGCTGTCTGGTGTCCCCTGGGAGGATCCCCTTCCAGAAGTTCCTCTGGTCCGATTTGGATGTGGAGAGTGGTCGGCACGATCCGCGGAGCACCATCGCCCTGGCTGACGCCATGCATTTGCACTGTCCACTAAAAAGAAGTGGCCTGCGAGTTTCTCCACAACCGTCACCCAGGGAGAGTCCTCATAGGTGAATTTCCTGGCACATCCGAGCAGCTTTTCCATGAAGAGTGTCAGAGTGAAGTTCTTATGATTCGCAAGTTGCTTCGCTCCACGTCCATGGCAACCCTGGCGCACCCAACCCGAACAATCCCACACTGGACAATGGGGGCCTCCTCCTACTCCTCCTCGATATCCCCTTCTGCCGCCTCCACATGCACGACGAATGCTACGGCGACCAATATTACTCCTAGTACGACTACTCCTACTACGACGACGACTCCGACGACTACTACTGCTACTACTACGACTACTACTACTACTACTACTACTACTACTACTACTACTACTACTACTACTACTACTACTACTACTACTGTTAAGAATACTACTACGCCTATTACCACTACGACTACTACTACTACTACTACTACTACTACAACTACTACTACTACTACTACTACAAATACTACTACTACTACTACTACTACTACTACTACTACTACTACTACTACTACTACTACTACTACTACTACTTGCTACTACTACTACTGCTACTATTACTACTGCTACTACTACTACTACTACGACTGCTATACTACTACTACTACTACTACTACTACTACTACTACTACTACTACTACTACTACTACTACTGCTACTGCTACTACTACGACGACGACTACTACTACTACTACTACTGCGCCTACTACTACTACTACTGATACTACTACTACTACTACTACTACTACAACTACTACTACTAATACTATTACTACTACTGCTACTACTAATACTACTACTACTACTACTACTACTACTACTGCTGCGACTACCACTGCTACTACTACTGCTACTACTACTAGAATTACTACTACTACTACACCCAGTACGACTAGAACTACTACTACTACTACTACTACTACTACTACCACCTCTACTACTACTACTGCTACTACCACCATCACTACGACTACTACAGATATTACTACTAAAACTACTACTACGACTACTACTACGCCTAGTACTACTAGTACAACGACTACGACTACGACTACGACTGCGACTACGACTACGACTACTACTACTACTACTACTACTACTATTGCTACGACTCCTACTACTACTACTACTACTACTACTACTACCACTACTTGTACTAGTGCTACTACTACCACCACTACTACCACCACTACTACTACTACTACTACTACAACTACTACTACTACTACTACTACTACTACTACTACTCATACTACTACCACTACCACTACCACTACTACAACTTCTATTACTACTACTACGACTACCACAATTACAAAATACGATTAGTACAACTTTACGGCTGCTACTGCTTCTACTACTACTACCTCTACTACTACCTCTCCTCCTACTACTACTACTACTACTACTACGACTACTACTACTACTACTATTACTACTACTACTACTACTACTACTACTACTACTACGACTACTACAACTACTACTACTACTACTACTACTACTACTACTACTACTACTGATAATACGAAAACGATTACTACTACTACTACTAGTACTACTACTACTACTACTACTACTACTACTACTACTACTACTACTACTACTACTACCACTACTACTGCTTCTACGACTACTACTACTACGACTACGACTACGACTACTACTACTACTACTACTACTACTACTACTACTGCTACTACTGCTACGACTACAACGGCAACGACTACTACTACTAATAATAATGGTACTAACAGTCCGAATGATAAAATGACTACTACGCTTAGTTCTACTACGACTACTACTACGACGACGTTCATCATTACTACTGTAACACGACTACGGCAGGTTCGTGTCGTGCCGACCCCAGCGTTGGTTCCTGACACCGCGGGGATCGTTCAACCTTGAACGATCTGCCATTGCCGCAACGTCCAATCGTTCAACATCGACCGATTCTGGGCCGCCGCCGGCGTTCAACGTTGAATGCCGGCGGCGGGGTCGAAGCCGGTCGACACGACACGACCCTACCGCAATACTACTACTACGACTACTCCTGCTACGACCTGCTGCTTCTACTGATACTACGATCAGCAGTCCTACTACATATCCTACTACGACGGCGACTAATACTACTACTTCTCCGGCTACTACAACTATTACCACTACTACTACTATTACTACTACTACTACTACTACTACTACTACTACTACTACTACCACTACTACTGCTACTACTACGACTACCACTATTACGACTACTACAACAACTACTACTACTACTACCACTACCACTACTATTACTATAACTACACCGACTGCTACTACTACTGCTACTACTACTACTACTACTACTACTACTACTACTACTACTACTATTACTACTACTACTACTACACCGACTACTACTACCAATACTACGGCTACTACTACTACTACTACTACTACTACTACTAGTACTACTACCATTACTACGACGACTACTACTACTACTACTACTACCACTACGACGACTACTACGACTACTACTACAACGACTACTACACCTACTCATGCCACTACTACTTCACTGCATACTACTGGTCCGGTTACCACCACCACTACGAGTACGATCGCGACTACGTCTTCGACGATGACAACGACTAGGACTTCCACCACAACTACTATTATTCATACTTGCCAACCCAAGTACTCAGACCACGACTACTACGACTACCACTCCTACCACGGATACAGCTACTACTACGACGAAGTACTACCACTACTACTACTACAACTACTACTACTACAACTACTACTACGAGTACTACTACGAGCACGAGTAGTACGACCACGACTAGCACTGAGAGTGCGACAACAACTCCAAATACTACTGCAATGCGACTACAACTTCGACTACCACTTCGACTACAACTACAACTAGCACTACGACTAGTGCTACTACTAGTAGTAGTAGTACTACTACGCCTTCTACTATTACTACTACTACTGTTACTACTGATACTACTACTACTACTACTACTACTACTACTACTACTACTACTACTACGACTACGACTACGACTACGACTACGACTACTACTACTACTACTACTACTACTACTACTATTACTACTACTACTACTACTACTACTACTACTACTACTACGACTGTTATCACTGATACTTCGATAACGATTACGACTACGACGACTGCTACTACTACTACTACTACTACTACTACTACTACTCATACTACGACTAGAAATACTACTACTACCACTACTAATCATAATTCGCGCCATTCTCCTATTACTCGACTACCACTACTACTGCTTCTACTACGACTACGACTACCACTACTACCACTACTACTACTACTAGAATTACTACTACTCCTACTACTACTACTACTACTACTACTACTACTACTACTACTACGTATACAACCATTGTTACGACCACTACTACTACTACTACTACTACTACTACTGCTGCTGCTGCTGCTGCTGCTGCTATTACGACTACTACTACTACTACTACTACTACTATTACGACTACTACTACTACTACTACTACTACGACTACGACGACGACGACGACGACGACGACGACGACTACTACTACTACTACTACTACGACTACTACTACTACTACTACGACTTCTTCTACTACGGCTACTACCACTACTACTACGTCTACAACTGCTGCTACTACTATTACCACTACTACAACTAGTAAT